AAACAACAAACAGCAATTGAAACACTGCTTTGCAAAGAGTAATCTGCGTTGCAATCTGCGTTGGATACGAATATAAAGATGTCCCAGAAGTCGATTTCCAAATGGCACCAGGTGATCAGCATAGTTACACAATAGTTATAAAAAAAATATATAAGAAAAAATATATTATTTTCCGCTATTACTACTCATAGTTACTTGAACTAACTTAAAAATATTTTTTACGACATCTAAGGCACAAGTGCCTATCATTAGACCACTATGAGTTGTTATTTCTAATCTTGTCCGGTTTGATGCACACTCTGCTATCTATCTATATTTTGGAAAGGATTTTGACTTTATGATGTACGTATTTTAGTGGATACTGATTAACCCTATTAAGACAACAATGAAGTCTGCCAGTGTCGGTATGGTGATGCAGGTATCATTATTTATATCCTGGTGTCTAAATAAGTTTATAAAAGTGTCATCCCTGGAACAAATCTTTGTTGTTTTGTTTTAATTAACTCGTCGAGTACCGGTTTTGTAGACACAATTATAGAACAATAGGTTGCGGTCACCGGTGACCGCTTGGTGTTTGACAGTTTAATCCATTCTCATTCTTGGAGATTTTTCTTCACCTCTTGCAATTCCTTAAAAGGTAGTAATGTAAGCAATGTTACTGATTGCAACATATGTCTCGAAACATATTTACTCTTTTTCTGACGCTTTAGGATCGACAAACTTTTTATGTTCCGTAAGTGCCAGTTTATAAATAAGAACATCCATGTATGTTAAAGAGTCATTTTCCATTGTGTATCGAAAGTAAGCTGTCAGTAAATTCATTCAGTGCGTTTAAACTCGTCGAGTACCGGTTTTGTAGACACAATTATAGAACAATAGGTTGCGGTCACCGGTGACCGCTTGGTGTTTGACAGTTTAAATAGGTTTAACATTAATGGAACAAAATGAATAATTTTTAGGAATTTGGTCTCGTGAGGATTCTTTTCCGTCGTCTATATGATCATACACTCCGCAGTCCGCAGGCTTAAAACTGCATGCATTCTCAAATATTTGAAACTTCTTTCGAAGAGATATCCATTGCGCAGAAACAGTCGCTGTGTGCAATTCTTAATTCCATTAATTACACGCATCTTCCGATACATTTGTATAATGATGTTTTACCTTTTGAGGTTACAATCCTGTTGTAATTTGTTGTATTATTTGTAAAACACTGGTAACTACTGAGGTGGTAGTTTGCCTGCACAACTTAATATTTTTTATTTAGCCTCAAAAAGGATTGGAGCTTAACGCGAAGAACAGAATAAGAAAGAAACCACATTTACTTCAGGAAGACGCCTTGTATATCTGTCTGACATTCAACGGCATTCTCTGAGTAACGAACCTGGTAAGTTAAGACTCAATTGAAAATGTCTTCACGGTCCCGGTTTTATGAATGACCTGTTGTAGATTTAGACGATTCTAAGCTGTATTTAGAACTAAGCTAGAAAAAAAAGGATAAATATTACCGCTCAATCCAGACGGTCGTTAATACGCATTTTTATGCAATCTGAACTCTAAAGAATATTAGGTTTTAAGCCTTGATGAAGACATCTTTTTTTAGTTTTTTTGTTGTTGTTATCTATTTTCTGGGTTGCATTTTACAGCAGTAAAATTTGTGCTAATCGTTACTTTTTTAATTTTATTTGCTATCACATAGGGACTGGATACATTTTTAACAGATTAATTGTAATCATGTGTGAAATAAGTACTCTTTAGCGGTATCAAATTTATGAAAATAAAATAGCAGCTTTCTGAAATTATAATAAAGTGAAGAGTTGTCGAGAGAGATACCATTTTTAATGCATTCTAAGTTTTTCATTTTAGAGCGGTTATACGTGCTTACTTATTGAACTGTGATGTATGATGTACTCTGATTTTAGAAAACAAAAATGGCATCTATAGGCATATTGGGTGAAGAAACAAAATATTTCGACGTTACGGTCTGGCCACGAGGATAGGTGGAGCGGTGGGCGGTGCGACTATTTGTCCTGCGGCGTTTGCAGGCCAGACGCGTTGACCGCCGCGACCTCAGAGCATGCCATTATAAGAGGCGGAACTTAGAACTTCAATTTCTGACGGTTTCGTAACCGATTTTAGCAAACCTTATAAAAAAACAAAGCAAAACATCAATCATTAAAACCTAATAAACTATCGTTTTTCTGAATGTTGGCTACCACAGGTTACAGACTCCATACAAAAATATTAGTTTTAAGTTTCACAGGACTAGCGCCGTTCTGATTCACTAATATATTTCACTCGCCTGTGCAATTCGTACATTTCGCCGGTCGCCGCTCCGCGGGACTACATTTCTATGTGTTTGTTTCAGTCGCTAGACGCCTCGCCGGTCGCACCGCGCGGATTTTCGCTATAATGAATGTTCCGTGGTCAGGCTGTTACACTAAGGAATCTAATACATATCGATTACGAAATTGAAACTTACTACTTTATTATTATGTGAACTGAATAATGTGGTTACAAAATATTGATTTACAAGATTTCTAGCTAAGCAAAATTAACCATATTTTATTAGCCCTTTGTTCACACATCAAATTAACATACAAAATGTACATATGCATTGGGTTTATATTGTCAACATTGAAATGTTTATGTACGGACATTAAGGAATCCGGATATGCTGAATGTTCTTATGTTGTTCTGTATATCAGCATACTTCATAAGCTGAAGATAATCGGTATGATGTGTGAACGCGATAAAAGTTTGAACTTATGCCAAATATTTCATGTACACTCGAATAACTATTTCTTATTGCAGGGTTGCACAGTGATGTGTTCTTAACGATTACTTATTAATCTAACTACCATTACCATGAATACTATGGCTACAAAATTACATCAGTAAATTATGTACACAACTTCAGTATTGAAAGTTTTTATTTTCAATTCCACATATGCTAGTAAACTATAATACTGTCTCCATAGAAATTAGCTTAGCTATTAATTCAACTGAAAGTCATCTCTAATTTATAACAATTACAAACACTGTAATTCACTAGTTGTTAATAATCCCTAAGATAAATCAATAACCAACAAAAATATACTGACTGAATTGAGTTATTATTTCCTATAATAATTTAAAATGATTATAATTATTTGAATATCATAAATTTTGCTTTCAGTTATGGAAATTATATAACAAACCAGTACTTTAAAAACGCAAATGTATAAAATTTAAAACTAATTTTAATATTGTATGTTCACAGGTTTCAGTTTTTAGTTAGACATCTCCCGGCATATATTCTGGTAATTATAAACAATTAATATTTTCAAATATATTAGTTATGTTTTGAAAATAAAGTATGAGGATTCAAAGATTTTAATTATAATCATTATGAATTATTTGTTACCAAAACGCGTACTGACTGATGAACCATGTTCAATAAAATTGAATGTTTATTTTTCTTCATTTCAGATGACCAGGATACAAGCCTTAACAATATTATAGTCAACTGAAAGATGGTTTATGCCCGAGGTATGTATGCTTTTTACCATTTAGTGAATTATGCTTTGCGATAAACTTGGGATATATTATGATGATTCATTTTTTTTTGTCTTCTTTTCCCGACTGATGCATATTGAAGCATAACCATTAAAATCTGATATTTTAAAAATATGTAAGTTGTTACTTACTTTTGAAATGTGTGACGTGAATCTAAGGGAGCTCAATTTTTTTCAGTGCATTGGCTGCCTTTGGCTTTGCGGTGTTAGCGCTCGAGAACATTATCTATCTCACTACACGCTATTGGAATGTAGGTAATATTGGCGATTGTATTATTTAATTCACTTTGAAAGTGTTAATGATGATTCTCACTATTTTGTCTTCTTTTCCCGACTGAGGCATAATGAAGTATAACTAAAATGTTCTGATAAACCTTAAGTTTTGTTGTGACAACAACTTATATTCTAAGCAAATACTAATATCAATTAAACTTGTTTGTTGCAGATCTACTGAAGAGAGGAAGTGCAGCTTTAAAAACAAAATGATTTGTTATTTTATTGCATTCTCATTATTACAGTTGTTGCTAGCTAAGCATAATATTTTATTGCACGATGTATTGTTGCAAGAAACAATATTCTGGTATTTATAAATATTTCTCTGCTTTTTTCAAATAATATAATGATCGTTAAGTAACGACATACTTATAAGTATAAGTACTTATTATTCTCGATCATCGTTATTTCATATTTGATTTCAATAATACTACATACTACAGTACCGTATTAAATAGCATAGTATTGATTGGTAAACATTTAAAAGTAATTGATCTACTACCGTGCATATCATTGGTGATAGGCACACGATCTCTGTAGATTAGGTCGTATTCTAAGGTTACTTAAATGGGAAATATTTAGAAATAGAGAATACACAGTAAGATTTTTAAATACGTAGTTAAAGACTGTATTATTTTTACCTTAATATACATAATGTTTCTCTAAGAAATGGTTTTATTTTCAAACCCATGAAGTAAGTTATAATATCAAGGCATATTAATATACCTTAATATAAGTACCTATGCAAATATGTAGAGACGTCACAGTGTATTGGGATCGAACTATCATCATAGACAGGACAAATTGTTGCTAACAAACCTGACATTGTGACGATAGATCGATCAAGCCGTCACAAAATGGTAATTGATATAACAATTCCGAGAATCTCTTCATGGCGAGAATCTCGTAAATGGGTGCTGAAAAAGATAAAACAAGTAAAATCTTTATCCATCTCATGAGATTATCGACGTATGGGATGTGAATTCAGCAATCACTGTACCGTAGTAATGGCCTCATACTTCAAAGCCTCAACCAACATCTGAGTAGGCTAGCATTAGATGGTTAGGTCGAGGGCCAGATGCAGAAAACAATACTTCTGTTTTTTATAATAAAAAAAATAAATATTAATTAATCAGGTATGGAAAATAAGTTAAGAATATAAGTACAGCAATACATATTTATTTTAAAATCAATCTACTAGAACTCATCACCTCTTGCAAATTCTGGTTCACTATTTGTATGAAGATAATAGTCTCCTTGAATATCTGTTGGAACAGGGTATCCCATATTTGCAGGGTTTTCTTTGCATTCGCCATTCTCAAACTTGTCCCAACTTTCACATGGATAAGAAGTAAAAGGAATTTTTGAGTCTATCGATTCCCCGAAGTACAGATTTGAGCGCCCGTGGCTGCAACCCTCTAAAATATGAATTTTATGTTATCTTTTGGTTTCAAATAGTAAAATCTTAATAATGGATAGTGTGGTACCTATAACCGATTGTATCCCTTCACAACCAGGCTGTTTTGGCCGTCCACTGTTTGCATAGAAATCAGCATGCCCGTGGCTTCTTGCATACCCATAAATTCCAGCACAGGTATGAATAATGTCTACAAATTCTGCGTCACTTTTATCTAGACGACAATTTGGTGGCATTAATGGAAGTTCAAAGAGAGGTCGAGCAGGATCCAGACCTGAGGAGCATTTGAGGCATTACAATCTGTCATTTTTATAAATAAATAAATTAAGTGATTGAGTGTGGAGTGATTTTAGTGAGATGGCAGCGTGATCATGAAAGTAGATCAGTAAACCAAAGATCCATCATTTCTAAATTAACTAAAAATCACGTGTTGCGCGAAAATTTAGTTCATATACCTATGTCAAGTTCATTTAGTATGTAGTTATAAACATCCATCTTTTCTATTGTACAACATCTACAGATGCTGATATGTGGACAGGCAACATGAATAAAGCTTAACAACCGAATACGTTTGTCCTATTCGCAATTATTTCCACATAGAGCTTGCTATACCTGGAATTGACCTCTATTACAACAAACTAATAGGTAATAGAACATCTGGAACATGGGTGCATTGTAAGCAGGTAGACTAGGTAGATACCTACTTTTTCGTACCTCCTAGTTTAGAGAGCTCAATAGAAATGAAACGATTGTATAAATTACTGCTTAGTTTCGCCATTGACATGTATAACTGTGTATTGTGAAAGGTGAACCACAAATAATCGTCAGTTCGAGTTTGAGACGGTAGAGTACCTAGGTATGCATGTCAGTAGGGCAATGTAAAATCATGGATATATTTTAGGAGACTCACCAGTGATTCTATTTATCCTTTGGTTTGAAAATAAACCCGTATACCCCATAACATGAGAACCTAAACTATGACCTATCAAATGCATGGACTTGCCATCTATGCCATAAGTTCTTGCAATAGCATCTAATAGTTTAGCGGTTTTTTTACCAACATATCTAGTACTAAACGCAGACCACGGATATATTGGATTTTTAGACAATTCGCTCCAATCTATGGTAATGACATTGAAATCGGATTTGATTAAAAAATCATCTTTGATTCTCTGAAGCCAATCTACATTTTCTGCCGACATCCATCCATGTGTTACAACTTTTATTTCGTTAGATGAGTTAAAGTATTTGCTTGTAAATTTTCCATCGCTATTGGAAACGTTTAACTGCTCCGCTTCCGTGTTACGTCTAAAACATAAATGAATTGTAATTGCTTTCATATTCAAGAACCTACTTTTACCTATCATACCATAGCTTCACTCCATAACTAAATTTTGAACATTCAGTAGGATTTCGAATAACTTGACAACGAATGTGTACAAACTTTTTTAACCATAAATCTTTCATCTCTAATTTTCACTCAATTGCGGCGAAATACTATTATACAACTTTAGCTCGTAGCGTGTATCTCGTAGGGCGTAGCTGAGTTTTCCCATTATTAATTTTGTGATCTGTCGCCATTTTAGCGTTCGATTTGAATGCGTGCAATAATATATATTTGGTCGAAAACGCTACGTGCTACGTGGTACCAGCTACGAGTTACGCGCTACGATCTGCGAGCTACGAGCTGCGTGCTACGGTTGTAGTATTTCGCTGCAAGTGTGAAACTAGGGCTTAGAGATTTACGAATGGACATTAAGATCAAAAACTTCGCTGCATGCATGCTGGTATATTATAATAGTCTCATCTTTGCAATACTTTACGTGTAAAAATATTTTCGTAACTAGTTTAAAAGTGGATCCTTGAAGAAGATAGATAAAAGATAAACGTGCGGTGTGGTGCCACGTTATTCGAGTTTTCAATGTTCACCTATCTAAACTTAGTAGTACCCGGATTCTGTTATTTTGAAAATAAGTACCTTGTATATAAATAATAATAAGCATCTCCGAAAATTATTCCCCGCGTTTCTTGTGGTAGAATAGAGAAATTCATCATATGTGTGTTTCCATTGTCATCGTAAAAATAAATCCATTCTTCTCCGTACTCTGGCCCCTGTTCGTTTGTATATGCGAGAGCGAACGTATCAGGCGCTGTAACAGGTATTTTTAAAACGTGAGATACATATAGAAATTTAAAACCAAAATAGTTTATTATAACTGCTACCCCGATACAGTGGTGTCATCACTGCGAGGACCGCTCTGAGGACACGGTGGAACACACTGTAGCGGAATGCCCTCCGTGCGCTGAACACCGCCGTGCCCTCGGGGAAGTGATCGGTGATGGCGACCTAACGCGTCCGGGCCTAGTGCAGGTCATGATGCGGAGCGAGGGGGACTGGGATGCCGTCTCCTCCTTTAGCGAAGCAGTTATGCTAGCTAAGGAGGAGGCGGGACGCGTGAGGCAGCGAAGCGCTGCCTTCTCGCAACCCAGCCATCGCGAAGGACACACCGGGCGTCGGGGATCGCGGGACGATCTCCGGCCACCGTAAGCGCGGGCCTGCAGACTGCGAGTATGGGTGGCTCCCCGTCCGACCAGAAACAGACTCGAGCGTACGGCGCGTCGCGTTCGGCGCGCGCCTCAAGGAGCCATCGGACCACTCCAGACACCCAGGCGGGAGCCATTCAATCATTTTCCCCCCCTTAAAAAAACCCCGATACAGTAGTACCCCGATACGTTAAGTTCACATGGAGTAGGTAGTCACAAAAATCCAAATACAAACTAGACTCTTTAATTAATAGACCTTACCAAGACTGGTACAAAAATACAACTAAATGACAATTTTACCTATTGCTAATGCAGATAATACAATTGCCAGTTGGAAAATCATTTCGATGTGTATGCGTTGGCGTTCTAGCTTAGACTAATTTGGACTATTCTTAGCTATCCAGGAAATATATGGATATTTGTCTTATCACAAGCCATGTTTTAGAACTTTATCTCTCACGTATTACGTATCTACCTACTTTTTACAGACACAGGATAGCAAATGTTGTGTTAGTAGAGGCTACTATCGAGTGTCCTGAATTTTTTTTCTCATACTAGTTATCTTGCTAACTAGGCTAGTGCTGAAAATCTGTGCCGCGTCTCGAGCAATCGCGCTCGTGACACGGCATTTTAGCTGAGCACGGGCCTTTTTGCACCATGTACATTGTTACCTATTTTGTTTTTTTTAACTAGTTTTCTTGTTTTTTCTGTACTGGTGCAAATAAACTGTTTTTCTTTCTTTCTTACGTTCCCATCTGAGAATATTTTATTAATTTATGCCAAGGGCGTCTTTAAAAAAATTAGACGTCTGTTTAGGTTTAGGTAGTATAGTTATAAGTATAGATACCTATTTCTAATAATTATGTAGCGTTGTGTATGCTTTTCAGTCTTGACTTCGCCCCGGCCTGATGAATTTGTGATATCCCGCAGGTGGTCTAGAGATCTAGTCTAGTCACTAGCAGGTTGTTGATAAGAGGATGTTCTGATGGATATAGGTTCCTAGATAGGTTTTTAATTTCAATTTCGATATTCTTCAGGCCGTAGGATTTCTGCTTGCACCATTCCTACCGAATATTGGGCAGGTTATATGTATGACAAATATTTTATTTAGGTTCTTTACCAAGTAGGGACTTAGCTATTCAGATTGAGGTTGAGGTAAAAATAATACAACCATATAATCATAGCAACGTTATTGTATTTTATTTTTTTGAATTGAATCCTTTTTGTGCTTACACAGTAAACACATGATCTCAACACTTATAACTAAAAATATTCTATAAATGAAAATGGATATTTACTCGAGTTATAAAATGTTGCTCGTGCATATTTTGTTTCAATCGAGGCAAACTTATTGTGGAGTTGTTGGAGTAACAGTTAAAGTGCTCAGTATGATATCTTGAAGATTCGAGTATTTTATAATATCACTTATTGTGCTGAGATATTGTGCATTATGCCTTAAGTTTTTAATATTTGGGTGCCCTGTTTCACCGCAATACATTCTGCCAATGTGCAATAACTTCGTTTACTTACTTTCCTTTATACAAACTGATACATACGATTTAGTTACATTAATCTAATATATTGCTATCTTTTTCATTTTAGTCTAGAGAATGTCGAATGATGTTTGGGCTATTTATCCAGCAATGCAGTAACTTCTTAGCCTTCACTTAGGTTTATGAAATAATTGGACGATAAAATTGAGTGTGTACACCGTTGAAGAAATGCAAGTGCTTCGACAGTGGGCTTACTTGTGTCTTTCTATGATATCGATAGAGTTCACAGTTCTCAGACAAATAGAAGGCAGTCATAGATATACAAATTATCCGTAAAGGTTAAAATAAGTGAAAATGCGATTTTAATGAAAATTTTAGTATGTAAAGGAAGGATAATTTTATAATGGAAAAGACTAGATATCACATGGTTTGAGCTATATGTATATATTACTCTTGTTTCTTACTCTTGTACGTACAATTATAATAAATTTGTCAAAACAATACCTAAGTAGGTACATACGTTGTGAACAGCTCACGTTAATTGAATTTCAAGTCTTGGTGGTTGTTACAATGATCGCATTTAAATATAATTTCAGTTAAACGAGTGATTTAGGCATTATAATATAAAACCTACGCATACTACTCGAATGTAGTCGTGCACCTACGTATTGTGTGCGATACATCTGTGCTCGCTTGTATCACTCGCGCGATGACATCAAATTAATAAAACAAATATTTACAATTCTATAAGTACAAAAAGGTAAAACTTGTAAAAACAAGACTATTACTTTATAGTTTCGTGATATGCCTGCCACGGTCAACAAAACAACAAGAATTACGAATTAGGCACCTGCACTAGTGCTGGCCACTCGGCCTCAAAGTAAGCTTGCCCAGCAATATCTGTTTGCATTACTCTACCATTTTCTCCAATTGCATTCTATACGAAAGCATAATGAAATCGAAATAAACAATAGTGACTTCGATATTTACCAATAAGTAATATTTTTACAGTTGGTCAGTCGAAATTATTGAGCATATTATACATACATACATAATTATTTTAACATATTACAAAGTCATTATGGAACTGTGGATAATTTTATTGCACATATCGTCGATCCTAATATTCTAAGTGTATGCTATGGCGGAAGTTAGAGAACAAGTAAAAAATATAACAAAAACAAGGATCTATTGTGTCGTTATACGTAGCTTAAGTCTACACCGTCATCAGCAGTGAACTAATGATGCGCTTGTTCGCTGTCCTTGACGTAACAATACTCAGTGCGGACGGCACGCCGCGTGTCCGCTGCGTGCCCGCCGACGCCACGCGCCGTATTCCTCCGTACCAGACGCTTCCATGCACGCACATAAATAACTACACCTTATCATACCTACCTATCTATTTGTTATGAGTAATTTATTCCAATTTCTTTAAAGCGTACATTTTTATACTTATTTTAGGAGGTCCTTAACTCGATATTCGATTAAAAAAATTCTGCGTTACAAACAATAGGTACAAAAAGTGCGACGTGCATGCAAGGAAATATCTAAGAGCACATTTGACACAATAAGTAAACCTAATAACGAACATAACACTAAACAGTCTTGGTTTTGACTGGTCAACTACATAGGTGGGATTACTCAAGGAACCGATACGTAAATTGTATTATTATTTCCGTAAAATAACAAACCCAATTTAATACTTCGTAACGGACTGTAAAAATAGTAAAAACAATCACATATAAAATTCTTAAAAAATCTCACTCAACATCATTTGAGTGAAGTCGAAAACAATTGACTGAACCTTTGCGAATTACTTTGGGCATTGACACATCAAGTCGCATTGCTGTATCAGGTAGGTCATCATCAGCCACACAAGAATAAAAAAATAAGTTTATTCATGAATATAAGAGAGTATGTTCTTAATATAAACGTGGGAAGTTCCTAGTCGGCAGTGTCTAATGGCAACAGTGTGTAGTGCCTCACAAGTAGTCACAAACACTGGCAAACAGTTCTTCAGAACCTCAATCATACCACACCACACCTAAATAAATAAATGTATAAGTATAATATCTAATATGTTTTTACATATGTACAGTTGTTCCTTTTAAATTATTGTAACTACATAAATAAAATTAATAAAAATAAATTTGTACTTTTAAAATAATAATTCATTAAAAAATGTGAAACAAAACTGAGTTTATACGTTTTGTATCAATCTAAATTATTTCTAAAATCTACTTAATGATTATTTTGTTGTATATTATAAAGGAGCAGCCGGGACTGACGGGCGAGACGCGGCGCGCGTGGCTCGCGTGGCCGCGGCGTGCTCGGCCACCAGTCGCGGCTGCTCTTAGTAAATCGTTATTCGTAATTAGTTACAATAATAACTACAATATAATGTTGGTATGAGCGGTGTCGTGGATGCTTCCCCGCTCATACCTAAAGCGTTAAGGTGAACGTCTCTCGCACTGCCTGCCCGCCGCACATTACTGCTTCACGTAAATAAAACAATATTAAGTATACGGCTTCGACCAAACAATAAGCAATCGGTTCACAGTGACCACTTGTCGTTGCGTACGTTATTTTAGTCTTGTGGCTTTGTACATGACACGTACTTCAAATACAGTCATGTGCGTTTGTTTGTGTTGGTTTTTATGTCGCCACGTTGGTATTAAAGGTCGTGAGTGCGTTTGCCTCGAACAATTAATTGACATATTTTATCAGATAGGAAAGCAGACAGTGCGACCAAGAACCGTCACAGCATCCACTTTTTATACGTACATTATTACAGTCGCAAATATTCTTGTGCGACTTAAGTCATCATTTCCTAAGTATCTATATTTATAATAATGGTTACCGGCGGCGTGGTCGTAACGCCAGTGACCTGGTGGGATCTTTTAACACTACATAAACAGTGAACGTACCAAATCAATATCTACTTCCAAATAGCCCCCGTTTCGTAGGTCATTGGGCTCTACCTAATAAATAATGAAAATTTACCGACTGCTGTATTTGATTGTCGTTCAACGTTCCTGCCCGATATTCAGTATGGTTGCTCAAGCTAAAGTGTTATTACAAATAATAATTAAGTATTTGCTGAAGTAAATTCGGAATTTAAATACTTATTGCTCCATTAAAATCTGTACATATTTGAAGCGCATTCACGAAATTGGGTCGGTGGGGAGCAAGGCGATCATTTAAAGCTTGTCGCTCGCTAATGATCAGTAGCTCGAAGATCAGCAGACAGTCTCAGCGGGCGCGGCCGGCGAGTGAGCCAGCGCGGCCAGCGGCGACAGCGGAGACAGCGGGGACAGCGGTGACAGCGGCGGGGGCGGCGCCAGAGGCTCCGGGGAGCGACGCCGCAATGCTTGGCGTTTACGGAACTCGAGGAACTCTTCCTTCATAGCACGCACTCGAGCTTCCACGTCGTCCCGCGAGGGGCGCGCGCGCGTGCGCTCCGGGGTCGAGGGAGTTGGCGTGCGCGTGGCGCGGTCCCACTCGTAGTGCACGTCCACCGAGCCCGCGTCGCCCGCCTC